TTCCTTTGCAATGGATTGTATATGGGGTCTAGCTCTATGTATTTATTGATGGCTTTCTTAGTGGAGAACCAGGCTTCTAGGAATTCCTGTGCTTGTCTCTGCTTTGCCTGTCCCAAGCTCCTGGTGTTGTCCCAGTCGAAATGGTGGTTCTCCTTATCCATGTGGATGGAGATGATTGAGTATTGGTCATGTCTTTTTGTTGCCAATTGATGTTCGTGTACCCTTGTGGTTAATTTCCTTCCTGTTTGTCCGATTTAGTGTTAGTCACAGTCTTTGCAGGGAATCTTGTATATGACATTGGTCCTGTCCATAGTGGGTAGTGGGTCTTTGGTCTGGGTGAGCAGTTGGTGTAGGGTTGATGTGGGTTTGCGTGCTACTCTGATGCCCAGTGATCGTAGGAGTCTTGTGGTCAGTTCAGATGTGTTCCTGATGTAAGGTAGTGTGGTGAGTGTGTCAGGGCGTGTAGTATCTTCCTGTTGTCGTGCGTGTGATATGCATCTTTGTCATTATTAAATGGGCCAAACTAGAGGAGACGCACGAACTGATAAACAACACCCTCACTGGGATCAGATTCACCAGAGAAGAGGAAAAGAACAAACCGCTTCTATTCCTGGATGTCATGGTGGAACAAAGGTACACAGGAAAGCCCCACACACTGACCAAGTACTGAATTTCAACAGCTTTCACCTTAACACACACAAACGAAATTGCGTGAGAACATTATTTAAACGGGCAACAACACACTTGAGCAGCACAGAGCTACGCCAAGAAGAAGAAGAGTAGCTCTTCCAAGTATTCAAAGACAATGGATACCCAAAAAACTGGGTCAGAAGATGCCTATCACATGCACAACAACAGGAAGATACTACACACCCAACACACGCATCACGCTATCCTACATCAGGAACACACCTGAACTGACCACAAGACTCCTACGACCACTTGGCATCAGAGTAGCACACATGTGAAGCAGAGACAAGCACAGGAATTCCTAGAAGCCTGGTACTCCACTAAGAAAGCCATTAATAAACACATAGAGCTAGACCCCATATACACTCCATTGTGAAGGAAAACTGGAAGTGAGGTAATCCAGCTCAACGGACCCCAGAGTTTAAATACCACGTGGGAAAACACAACAGCACTTCATCAGAGTCTGCACTGATGATGTTACCCAGCTCGGTAATGAAACGTCTGCGGATCAATGAACCAGCTCAGCAAGCAAACCAATGACAAGAAATTGGAATAATCAACTCTATTGGAAAACTGAACAGAATAACAGATTATTTAACTACTAAATAGTAACTGTTCTAATATAATAACATCTCATAAACACACCCTTGGCAAAGGCAAATTCAGTAAAACACATTGTCTCATGTACGATTCTAGCAGCAAGAAGAGAACCCCCAGCTTTTAGCTGTAACACAGAGAGGAATAAACATTTCCACAACCAGCTTCAAGACCCCAGCAGCAACTGAAAAACTAAAACTAAAAATCCTGGTTTGTGAGAGTTTGACCCCACCCATTCAGGCTGCTTCTATTGTTCCAACTTTAAAACAAAACCCATGACCTCACAAGCTGTTTACTGTATCATATTGAAACATACAGCCTGGTGCCTTTATCTTAAAACCTGTTTTCATAAAAAAAAGTACAAAATATATATCTTAAAGCCACAGTATCATTACACAAGGCAAAATTGTCTTGAGTTCTAATTCACCTACAAGCTGAGGCTTTACAATCCTCTGGGAGATCCTTCTAACCATTGTCACATCTTCATTCATATTTTCAACAAGCGTAGTTTATAGTCCTTGTTTGCGTGGCCAAAAATAATCTCTTTTACCACAGTGCAATCAATGCATTGGATGATGAGATACTCACTGAAATGTGACCTCTGATCATGGGGTCACATTACACTTCGTCTCATGCAATTGACAGATTGGTTTAAATAAATTATGATTTATTTCCATTCAGTAACACACAAAATGTTTGTAAATTGTGAATATAATGCTACAATTATGCTAATATCGGTTAAATATGCCCAGAAATAAATGTTCAGCTTTAGTTCATACACTCACCTAGTTCCACATATTACATGACTTACATTGGCTATACAAGCTGCAAACAAGAAAGTTAGTGACATTCACACCAGAGTCACTGACCATCCCGTTAACCCAGAGTCACTGTCAATTCACACCGTAGCTCCGACACCATATTGGGTCCCATCCTGCAGATAGCTCCTCCTGAGTTGATGAGAATCTACGACTCATAGTCAACCCATCCTAGAGCACTTATATGTCTACTCAAGAACATGTGCCCCACAGAAATCTGAGCCTCTGAGGTCACCACATAGCAACACTTCCCAAAACCTCTTCCCTATGCCAGCCCCCTCTTTGATCTCTTCACCATGCCAGAAATTCCCTCCTCCTCTTCCTCAGATCTTCCCCTGAAACCTCACTCACAACCTCCTGAGACCTTCACCTTAGACTTCACCCAAAGATACCATCCTCTGAGATAATTTCCATACCGCCAAGATCTCTTTAGCTCATATCCCTCAGAATCACCTCCCACAGACCTCATCTCCAACCCCAAGCTCTCTCCTTTCTCCAATATCTTGCCTCCCCGAATCTTAATCTGGTGGCAGAGAAGCAATAGTATTATACATCCATGTTAGGGGAGAGTATGGCCTGGAGGGAAACTTGGAAGTAGAGGCATTTTCATGGACATGTTGCCCTTGTCCTTCTAGATAACAGAATTTGTGGTTTTAGGAAGAACTGTAGCAGGAGGCTCAGTATGTTGCTGCATTACATGTTGCATACGGTAAATAGTGTACTAGTGATGGAAGGAGTGAATGTTAAAAGTGGTGGATGTGGTGCCAATCAAGCAGATTACTTTGCCATGGATAGTGTTAAGCTTCTTGAATGTTACTGGGGCAGCAACCATCCCGGCAAATGGGGAGCATTCCATTACACTCCTGACTTGTACCTTGTAGATAGTGGACAGGCTTTGGGGAGTCAGGGGGTATGTTACTTTCTGCAGGAGTTCTAGCCTGTGGCCAGTATTTATGTAGCTAGTCCCATTCAGTTCCTGGTCACCTAGCGGCCTCCAGGATGTTGAGTCCATGAGACTAGTCAGAACCACCACTGACAGTTGAAGAAATTTAACAAGGCAACATTTTACAAGTTTACACCCATCTCTATGTTTGCAATGTGTAGACTCTTTTAATACACACAGCAACGTTGGTCATTCACAAAGCTTGCTGAAGATGACCCTCTTGTTTACACTTCTGTACCAATGAAATCATTTTGATGTCAATCATTCTTATGAAACAGGAAAATGTAATTGGATATTCTGAGAAACTTCTAGTGCATAAAAAAACAAAAGAAACTAAACAAATTAACTTTTCATCTTTATCTGAGGTATCTTTCCAAAGCAAAAGTTGAAATAGTGAATCTTTGTTCCACTTAGAGATTTATAAAATTGCTGTGTTTCAGGACAATGTTGTTAGTTGAGGGTAAATGAATAATGCCAGGTGACCAACAAGGCTGCTGGACAGCAAGCCTAGATAGCTTAAAGAAGGACTTAGGTTGTCTTCTAAAGAGGTGTTTACATTTAAGAGAAAATGGCAGCAACCTGTTTGCTCACAATGGATGGACTTTTGAATCTTAAAAGTCCCAGGAAAATGTTGAAAATGTTGGATTGCAAACTTTAAACTTTGCTGCTTTAAACTTGAAAGAGAATTGTCTCTCAATGATAGTAATCAGCATCTGCACCTGGATACAGGTCCCATGTGATTCATGTAGGAATGAAGTTTAGCTTCAAGATGAGACAGGTCCAGACACTTGGAATAGCAATACCTGGTTAGAGGATTTCCTAAAATATAATTGAACATCAGACGGGGGGCTCATCTGACAGGATCCAGTGTTAGAGGTCAGAAATCCCTATGGTGGACTGCGCCACAATGCAAGTGGAAAATCATATTTCAACTGAGAAGACCAAATTCTTGTGAAGTTAAAACAAAATTTGAAGATTAGCATAGATTACCCAAAAATAGGGCAAATATCACTATTGTAATGCTCTCACTGTGAAGGACAGTTCTGGTGTTAGAAATATTCCAGATTCGCAAAGGGAAAACAGAAGTCAACCCTTGAGAGCTAAGAATCACTTTAAACTGATTCTGGGAGAATTTAATATTTGCTTACGGAATAGTGGAACATGTACCTGTGAAATGTGTTTTTTCAGTTGTGCTAAAAATGGGATGAGAGGTATTTATTCTGTAATTTAAAATACAAGATTCTTACAAAGATAGCGTTTAGTCAATGGTACTTTTCAGCCTGCCTAGTGGATATTGTGGGTAATTAATAGCACTTAAAAGAAATTATAACCTGTACTCAAAGTACTGCATACTTAGATTTGTTATAATAAACACTTCTAAAATATTAAATTTCATCTTCTCAGCCTTTCAACTATTCAGCAGACATTAAAAAAATTTTTTAAGAGCTATCTGGCTTGAAGGAGATTGTAGCATTTTGAAATTTGGCATTCTTTTCATATTTTGCAATCTATTCTCAGTAGCTATTAATCACTTTTCAATTTATGTAGGACTTCAGGAGAGCTCAGACAAGCAAAAGTTAGAATAATTAACAAACGTAATGGAAATATTTGAAGGAACATTGCCATTATTCAAATGTGAAATAAAGTTCCTAAATTTAAACCTTTTATTTGTGCAGAAGTTTTAATATGTAAAGATCCAGGGATATTTTTATAAGGAGGAAAAGATACAAACTAGTTTAAGAAGAAATAAAGAATTTGTATAGAAACGTTCACAAACTCGCTACACCACTGCAAAGGATTTTCATACCCAATGAAATACTATTGGTGTGTACTCACTTTAATGTAGAAACACAGTTCAATCTAGAAGAGTATAGAAGAAGATTCATATTGGATTTTAAAGTTAACTCTGTTTCTTTCTTTCTTTCTCCACAAATGCTGCCAGAGCTACTGGGTATTTCTAGCATTTCTTTTATTTTCTTTCAGATTTCCAGCAGTATTCATTTTTAATAACATAGTTTAATCATTTCCTTATTTTCATAGGGTCAGAAACCCTATTTTTGAGGGGTTAAGATGGCAGGTGGGTGAGATGGGTAGGGTGATAGGTGGGCAGGGTGCCTGGTGGGTGAGGTGGATAGGGTGACAGATGGGTGAGATGGGTAGGGTGCCTGGTGGGTGAGGTGGGTAGGATGCCTGGTGGGGGAGATGGGTAAGGTGCCTGGTAGATGACATGGGTAGGGTGGCAGGTGGGTGAGTTGGGTAAGGTGACAGGTGGGTGAGGTGGGTAAGGTGCTAGGCAAGTTGATGGATGAGGTAGGTTTGGGATCAGATTCAGGGGTTGACATGCTGGATGGGGTAGGAGTGTTGGATCCATGGTGGGGTGCAGTGTTTGGGATCTCTAGTCGGGTGTCAGATTGGTGGTGTTGACGTTGCCTTCGAGTGGGGGTCGGGGGTTTTAGATTGTGGGCAGTGGCTGGGCTGGGCTTGGGGATGGCAGCTGACAATCTGGGAGTCCCCAGACAAGCTGGGCAGAAGTGTCTAATTGGCTGGTAGTTGTCAGGGATCCTGGGCTGTCAGAGGTCAAAAAGATATAGTTTGGGGGGGTGTGACTTTAGTAATGAGTTGGGGGTTCCCCAAGAATTACAGTTTTTTTTTAATCATTTAACTTTTCCAGGGCAACCATTAAGCTTAAGTGAAAACTTCCAAATTCTTCACCTTTCAGGGGCTTTTTCAGAGGGTTCCAGGCACAGGGCAATTGATCATCAAAGTTTTCAATTTCCCAGGTAATTCCTATGGGGTTACCTACATTTCCACACAGCCTGGCGCACAATTCCAATCTATGCTGCTGCAACAAATATCTTGCTGTTGGATCATCTGGACCATTTCTCAATCCTTGCCATGAAACTTGTGTAATAAACAAGTAAAATATTCAGTCTCTTCAATATTGTGGGTATTTAATTGCTTTAGAAAGAAGTCACAAGCTGTATTCAAAGTATTGCATGTTTTATATCTGAATGTGTAGGAATAATAGAAAGAATTAGAAGATGGGATTGGAAGAAAAGGACTATGCATTGTGATTTGTGTAACATGGATTGTTATTCATTTTAATCCTTGTTGGGATATGTGTATCATAATCAATGCCAGCATTTATTGTCCATTCCTACTTACCCATGAATTCAATAGCTTGCTGGAACCATTTCAGAGAACAGTAAAGAATCAACCACATTGCTGTGGGTCTGGAGTCACATATAAGACCAGACTGGGTGAGGATGACACACTGCCTTCCCTAAAGGACGTTGTGAACCAGTTGGGATTTTCCTACATTCTATGGTCACCATTGCTGCATCTGGCTTACAATTCCAGATTTCATTGAAATCACTCCAACAGCTGCAACAATGCAATTTGAACCATTAGTCTGGACCGCTGGATCGTTAGCCCGGTGAAAATATTTACATTCTTAACATTTTGATGACTTATTAACGTTGCTGGCAGTCAGCAGGATCACTACCATCGGCAAAGGGCTGGCTTTGATGATCGCATGTCTGTTGTGGCCTTCCCTTGTGATGAGCTCCTGCATCAAATTTCAGGAAAAGGAGATGGATACAGGAAGGAAGTCAGGAGAATTAGCATCCACTGAACAAGTTTAACAGGCAGGCTTCTGAGACAGGATGCAACCCTTGGAATTTCTGCTGTTGAGGTTGGCACGGATTCCAGATGAACGTTTTGAACAAAAATGCTGAGAAAGTCATGGGGGTGAAGCTATAGGTATATGGATGGGGGATCAAGGCTGAGACAATCAGCTGGGCAATATTAGGGAAATATAAAGTTTTGGGCTGGGAAAGGATCATTGGAGTACAGCGCTTGGACCAGAGGGTAAAAGAAAGATGGAATGATGGGATAATAGGAAGAGAAAGACCTGAGTAGACCATGGGGAAACAAAGGCATGGAACTAATGCATTGGGTTCAGAGTGGCAGTTAGAATGCAGGTATTAATGGGCATAGATAATTCAAGGATTGGAAAAATTGTTCTGGTTGCCTTCCAGTCCAAAGTTGAAGCTTTGCGATGAGAAGATGTTGATCTGCAGAAGATAAAAAAAAAGAATTAATCGTTTCCTGCTGTTTTTTTCAGATCCTGGGGAGAAACCAGAAACTCACTGAATGTTCAGCAATTCAGAGACAAACGTCTGACCTAGTAAATAGTACCATGGGAGTTCCAGCTCTGGAGTAAATATGGGAAATCTGCAATTATCAGAAAACTTCTACAACTTTTCTAAAAGCAAGATAAAAGAAATAAAAGATGGCAAAAGAGCCAGTGAAAGTCAGATTCCCAAAATATCTCAGGGGAAATCTTTCCGCATGATTCTCTGGAACTTTGGTGGAAGTTGGCAAACTCACTGGTGAAACAATGCCAGGACAGATTTATTCTGTAGTTCTTCCAATTTCTTAGCAGAATGAATAGTAATCAGGAGAAACACAAGGAAAATCCAGGAGCCAAAGGAACAATGAAAAATGGCATTGTGAGAGTTCAGAAGCAGTATGTTCCTGTTAGTATGAAGGACAAAATTAGTAGGTGTAGGGAATGACGAAAGAAATTGAGGCTCTAGTCAAAAAAAAGGAGGCATATCATTGAATCCCTACAGTGTGGAAGCAGGCCATTCAGCCCATTGAGTCCACACCAACCCTCTGAAGAGCATCCCACTCAGACCCACCCCCTACCCTATCTGTGCATTTCCCACCGTAGACACTGTGGGTAATTTAGCTTGGCCAATCCACCAAACCCGGGTCTCTGGCGCTGTGAGGCAGCTGTGCCAACCACTGAGCCACCATGGCAGGTATAGAGAGCTGGCATCAAATGAATCCCTTAAGGAGAATAAGGACAGTAGGAGTATATTCAAAATGGAAATGAGGAGGGGAAAAAGGGGACATGAGATAGCTTTGGCAAATAGGATTAAGGAGAATCCAAAGAGATTCTGCAAATACATTAAAGGCAAAAGAGTAACTATGGAGAAAAGAGTACCCCTTAAAGATCAACAAGGCCATTTAGATGTGGAACCGTAGGAGATGGGTGAGAAAATAAACAAGTATTTCACATCAGTATTTACTACGGACAAGGATATGGAAGCTAGAGAATCTGGAGAAATAAATAGTGATACTTTGAAAAGTAACTATATTACAGAGGAGGATGTGCATCTTAAAACGCATACAGGTGGATAAAACCCCAGGACCTAATCAGGTATATCCCAGAACTGTGTGGGAAGCTAGGAGAGTGATTGCTGGGCCCCTTGCTGAGAATGTTGCATCATCGATAGCCATGGGGGAGGTACCAGAAGACTGAAAAGTGGCTAATATGGTGCCATTATTTAAGAAAGCTGGTAAGGAAAAGCCAGGGAATTATTGACCAGTGAGCCTGTTATCGGTGGTAGGCAAGTTGTTGGAGGGAATCCTGAGGGACAGGATTTACATGTATTTGGAAAAGCAAGGGCTGATTAGGGATAGTCAACATGGCTATGTATTTGGGAAATCGTGCCTCACTAACTTGATTGAGTTTTTTGAAGAAGTGACAAAGAAAATTGATGAAGGCAGAGCAGTGGACGTTGTCTACATGGACTTCAGTAAGGCTTTCATCAAGGTTCTGCATGGTACACTGGTTAGCAAGGTTACATCACATGAAATCCACAAAGAGCTAGCCACTTGGATACAAAATTGACTTGAAGGTAGGAGACAGAGGGTGATGGTGGGGAGTTGTTTTTGGACTGGAAGCCTGCGTCTAGTGGTATGTTGCAAGGATCAGTGCTGAGTCCACTGCTTTGTGTCATTTATATAAATGATTTATATATGAATACAGGATGTATGGTCTGTAAGTTTGCAGATGACCAAAATTGGCGGTCTAGTGGACAGTGGAGAAGGTTATCTCAGAGTACAATGGGACTTTGATCAGATGGGCCGATGGGCCAAGAAGTGGCAGATGAAAATAATTTAGATAAATGTGAGGTGTTGCAGATCAGGGCAGGACTTAAGCATTTAATGGTAGGCTCCTGGGGAGTGTTGCTGAACAAAGGGACCTTGGGGTGCAGGTTCACAGTTCCTTGAAGGTGGAGTCACAGGTAGACAGGGTAATGAAGAAGGCATTTGGTACACTTGCCTTTATTGGTCAGGGCATTGAGTGTAGGAGGTAGGGGTCATGTTGCTACTGTATAGGACATCGGTTAGGCCACTTTTGGAATATTGCATTCAGTTCTGTTCGCCCTGACACAGGAAAGATGTTATGAAACTTGAAAGGGTCCAGAAAAGATTTACGAGGATGTTGCCAGGGTTGGAGGGTTTGAGCTATAGGGAGAGGCTGAATAGGCTGAGGCTATTTTCCCTTGAGTGTTGCAGGCTGAGGGATGACCTTATTGAGGTTTACAAAATCATGAAGGGCATGGATAGGGAAAGGCATTTTACCTCAAGGCAAGGGAGTCCAAAACTTGACGGCATAGGTTTAAGGTGAGAGGGGAAAGATATAAAAGGGGCCTAAGGGGCAACTCTTTCACGCAGAGGGTGGTCTGTGTATGGAATGAACTGCCAGACGAAGTGGTGGAGGTTGGTACAATTACAATATTTACAAGGCATCTAGATGGGCATATGAATAGGAACAGCTTAGAGGGATATAGGCCAAATACTGGCAAACGGAACTAGATTAATTAGGATATCTGGTTGGCATGGATGAGTTGGATTGAAGGGTCTGTTTCCATGCTATACAACTCTAAACAACGAACATTTTCCCAAATATGTGGCTGGCTCTTTACTGCCCTCTGGGCAATTAGAGATGGGCAATAAATTCTGCCTAGCCAGCGATGCCCTCAACCCATGAATGAATAAAGATGCATGCAGCAAATAGAAGGGGTTAGGATTATTTCAAATAGCATTGTATAAACGACCTGAGTTGGTACATTGTACATACTTGTCTGTATTCAAGAAGCAGAGAATAAGTCAATAAAGTTTCCTAGCAAATTTCTAAAGAGTACCACAAAGGTGAAAGACCATCAATAGCTAGTTTTAGATTCTGTCAGAAACGTGTTTCATTTAAGAAGATGCTCTCTTAATTTTTATGGCTCACACACATCAATGGTAAATTGCTAGTTAAGTGTTTGCATGGCTTGTTGGAAAAAATTAAACATTGCATTGGACCAGGAGCTGGGTCCCAGGCAAGGACTTGTTGGCCATGAAAGGTGTGTTCATAATGTGGCCACGTGGATTGATTATCAGCCTGTATAATCTTCCAGTTCCCCACATGGCAAGTAGTAAGAGTGGGAGCCATCCTGCATAAGACAGTGCCAAACCACTGCAGTACTTTGCCTATAAGCTTGGACTAATCAATGGTCCAAAGTTGGTGACTCAACCCTTGGAGACAAGGACAGTAGAAAAACAGGCAGAATCAATGGATGAAGGATTTCTTTCCCAACCGCATTGTTCACTGACAAATTATATTATCTTTTAGCATTTTCATCTTTCAGAGGAATGTTTTAGCAAATCTTTTAACTTTTTTGCAATTACAATATCTTGCACCTAAATACTTGCAGCATTTCAAAAACAATGCCTGACCTTTATGGTTCTTTTCTCTTTCCAGACCAGAAAAAGATTATCAGTTGAACACTTTTGCTCCTTCTAGCAAATGCGATAAGAAGTAATTTGAGATTAATTTGCTATTCTCAGTAGTGGGAACAGCACTCTGATTCATTTTGAAGACTTTGAAGCCATCTAGAGAATTAAAATTGGAACTGCAGATTTTGTAAAATGGAACGATTTCGGGAAGGAGTTTAGTACTGTGGTTTACTGTGGGTTCTGAAATTCGGTGGCTCCCTAAAGTCACTTTCTGTGAGAATCACAAACAAATTAAGCAGTGTGCCCAAGTAGGCTCCACTCACATTTGTTGAGAATTCTGGGATGTAGCAACATTATAGATTGTTAAAACAACTCTGAATTGGTGGTAACACAGTGTGGAGCTGGAGGAACACAGTGTGGAGCTGGAGGAACACAGCAGGCCAGGCAGCAGCAGAGGAGCAGGAAAGCTGACATTTTGGGTCGGGACCCTTCTTCAGAAATCATTTCTGAAGAAGGATCCCAGCCCAAAACATCAGCTTCTCTGCTCCTCTGATGCTGCCTGGCCTGCTGTGTTCTTCCAACTCCACACTTTGTTACCTCTGACTCCAGCATCAGCAGTTCTTACTATTTCTGTCTGAATTGGTGGTGTTTGTTTTAAACAATTACATTTTAAACTATGTCACTACAGAGGCTAGACTTCAAAAATAAGTGCTAAATAATTTAAAAATAGGTCTTGTGGCCATGAAAGGTACCATCTAATTGCAGGCCATTTCTCTTTCTTTTGTTCCAATTATTGTTCTAGTTAAGGAATTGGCTGAGTGGTAAAACAGAGAGGAGGGATAATTGGCGGGACATGACTAGAGGTGGCCCACCAGAATCTGTGATGGGACCTCAACTGTGCACCATCTATTAACTGTTTCATTGTTAGATTCGGTTCATGAATGTTCACTTCGTCTTTAATGGCATTCAGAACACAGGCTGAAGTTTCTTTCCACAGTCCAGAGACTTCAGAGTCAATCCATTGCAGCCCTTTCTGGGAGCAGGGCTCAAAGCTAAAGGGTAATTTTACAAGCCCTTGCTTTCAGAAGGAAACCTTTAATTGGTGTCACAATTTTCTAACCACTATCACGTGTACCGTGCTAGGTTTTACAACTCAGTAGCACACCAGTAAGTAGTGCATAATTCATTTTCAGGATATGAGCTTCTACTGGCATGACCAATATTTACAGTCCACTTCTAGTTGTGAGGCAATGGGCTTTCTTCTTTAACTGCTGCCATATGCAAGGTGACAGGACTGTTTATTAGGATATTCCGGGACTTGTCCATCTGAAATAAAGGTGAGTTCAAAGTTTACTTAGAAAGCTAATGAGAAATAGTACTTCAGAAGCATTTCTTCAGAACTAAAAAATGCTGAGGGGAAAATAAATTTTTAACAGGAAAGAAGGCACTGAAATTTTGTAGGGATTCTCCCACCATAACTCTATCTAAAACATTG